TTACAACCAAATGATCTGCAAGAGTCAAACAGAGCCCTGGAGGTAGGGTGGCACCACAGCAGCCGTGGGTGGCAGCTCAGACTTGAGCTCTGGCCCTGTCCTCCCTTGTCCTCCTGCAGACGGGCCTTCGCCCTGTGGGTGCAGATGCTCGTGGCCAAAGGTCCCCTGCGGTGGCATCAAGAACCAGCTGGGCATGGGGCCTGCTCCCACTTTGTCAAAGAACCCGGATGAGTGAGATTCCAGAAGGTACCTAGGCCTTCGTGGGAGGGAAGGGACCCACAGAAGCTTTCACTCCCGCAGATAGGAAGAGGGACGACCAGGAGGAACCTGTGGACTTGGAATCCACGGCCCAGCTTTGGGGTCTGCCTCCTCCTTCCAGCCTCTCCTGGAGTCTGTCGCAGCTCATCCCTCGGTTTGAACATTTGGCTGGGGACAAGGCATGGATGGCTTTCTGAAGTCGGGGACAGGACAGGCAGATAGAGCTGTCCAGAACCACAGGAAGCCTAGGACAGAGAGCAACAGGTGCCCTGTGTGGTGGGGTGAGGGGAGGCTGGTGCCAGGCTGGGTTGGAGCGCACCACAGCAGCCAGCCCCCAGGTCCTGCAGAAGGGGTGCTCCTATCTCAGCTCCTCAGTATTTGCGGCTCAGCTGGTGCAAGCAGAATCTGAAGCCGCCACAGAGCGCAGACCCAGCACATCTGCAGATCGATGGACTCATCCCTGTATGTGAGAGTCCTATTCAAAGAAGAAGCCTGTCCTTTGGGGGAGGTAAGTATCCCTTACCTCTGTCTCAACAAATCCTCATGATGAGCAGCATAAAACAAAATGTTACAAGACACGCAAAGAAGCAAGAAAACGTGAACCCGGTCAAGGTGAGGGAAGCAAAGCTCCAAGTCTCAGCATGAGGGCACAGTTGTCAGAAGGAGACTGCGGCAGGAGACACCGTGCAGCAACACATGGGAGACTTCAGCTGTCAGTGGAAACCCTTAAAAAAAAAGGTGCCAAATGGAAGTTATAGTAAAATAAAAATATGACACCAGACTGGCAAAGAAATAGGCCTGAGGATCAATGGAACAGACTGGAAGACACAAAAACAAATGCAGATGTACTCAGCTACCTCATCTTTGACAAAGGAGCTCACCATCCTCAGTGGAGGAAAGATAGCCTCTTTAATAAATGGTGTTGGAAAAACTGGATATCAACCTGCCACAGATTAAAATTAGACCCTTATCTTTCGCCATGCACTAAATTAAAATCCAAATGGATTAAATATCTAAATATTAAAACAGAAACATTAAACTTGCTGGAAGGTAAGTTAGGCAGAACTCTGGAAGACATTGGTATAGGAAAAGACTTTATGAACAAATCCTCAGTAGCACGGGAACTAGCAGAAAGAATCAGCAACTGGGATCTCATCTTACTAAAAAGCTTCTGTACTTCAAAAGAAACCATTAGCAGAACTAAGAGACAATCTACAATGTGGGAAAAAATTTTTACCAGCTGTACCTCAGACAAAGGACTATTATCAAGGATATATAAAGAACTCAAAACAATCAGTCCCCCCAAATATAAAGACCCGATCCAAAAATGGGCATCGGAAATGAACAGACATTTCTCATACAAAGAAGTAAAAGCAGCAAGAAAATATATGAAAAAATGTTCCACATCACTGGTCATTCGAGCGATGCAGATGAAAACAACACTGAGATTCCACCTCACCCCACAAAGAATGGCTGCTATCAAGAAATCACACAATAACAAATGTTGGCGGGGTTGTGGGGAGAAAGGAACCCTCCTCCATTGTTGGTGGGAGTGCAGACTAGTGCAACCACTATGGAAATCAATATGGAGATACCTCAAAGAGCTTGGACTGGAGGTTCCATTTGACCCAGCCATCCCTCTGTTGGGTATCTTTCCAAGAGAACTAAAAGAATCATATCACAGAGAAGTATGTGCACCCATGTTTATAGCGGCATAGTTTGTAATAGCTAAATCTTGGAAACAACCTATTTGCCCATCCGTTGGAAACTGGATAAAGAAGTTGTGGTTTTTCTATAAAATGGAATATTACTCAGCCATAAAGAGCGAGAGAATAGATTCATTCATAGGAAAATGGATACATATTGAAGATATACTCCTAAGTGAAATAAATAAGTCCCACATGTGTAAATACCAAATAGTTTCCCTGGTGTGAATATTCTGCAACAATGCATAAGATTCTAATAAGATTACTGACATTTAGAAATGGGAGGAAAGGAGCTAAAGGTGTAGGGAAGGTGTGATATGTAGGGGAAGAACAAAAAGGGAAAAGAAAAACATGTGAGAGAATGAAAAGATGAAAATAAAGTGTTTGAAGATGGGGGGGAGGGGTTGAAGGGAGGGCAGAGGTAAGGGGAAAAAAATGAGAATCAAGACTTGCCATGTAAAGGTACATGATCCCAACAATGAATGTAACTGTACTGTATCCCTAAATATACCAATAAACTCAATTTTAAAAAAATGACACCAGGAATAAAGAATTAAATGAGCTTTGCATCAGAGGGGGAAAAAATCAGCAAACTGGAAGACAGGAATGCAAAAGTATCCAAACGGAAGCACAAGGAGGAAAATGAGTTTTAATAAAGACATCTGAGATGCCAGGTGTGGTGTGCATGTCAACATTCAGCACTCTGGGAGGCTGAGACAGGAGGATCACAAGTTTGAGCCCAGCCTGGGCAACTTACCAAGACCCTGTATGAAAATAAAAAGATAAAATAAAATGGGCTGTAGATGTAGTTCAGTGTGAAGATTCTTGATTCAACCCCCAGTACTGAAAAAAAAAAGCCAAGGTCTGTGTGGTCCAGGGTGTGTGTAACTCAACCCCCAGCAAGAGAGAAGGATCAAGGTGATACAATCATACACGGAGGAAAGGGTGGCGTTGAATGGTCAAGGGCTTTCTGATGGTGAAGAAAGACAGAGGCTCACGGATCCTGAGCCGGCAGGTGGAGAAAACCCACCGGCCCCACCGAGCTGCTGGATGGCACAGATCCAGGGACATCCTGAGAGCAGTGGGGACTTCAGAAGTGCGGAAACCGCGCTGAGCCAGTGACGTGCAGCCCAACCTCACGTCCAGAGAAGGCCCAGTGAGTAGATGCCTGCAGTTCTGGTGAGGAGGAAGGTGCCTTGAGGCCGGGTTTGCAGCAGGAATGGGGAGCCAGCGGGAGCTGGAGAGTGAGTGTTCTGATCCACTTATCCCCTTATGCAGTGAGAGGGAATCTGTCTACCAGGAAAGAGCTTCTTTCTCTAACACTATAGGCTGTTGGCAGAAAAAAAAAATCACTCAGCTGGGTTTGTAGTGTAATACACATGTTCCTCCCCTAATGACCAAGTCCCATCCCTGAGACTGGGTCATTAACTGAATTGGTCGCCAAAAGAGTCTGCAGAGTGTACATTACCATTCTCAGATCAAAGAAATGGTCCACAGAAACTCCACCTTGGCGGCTTTGCTTTGATTTCCGTGACTCCCGCGTACAGGGCGGGATGGGTAACAGAACCTGCAACTACAGTGCTGTACAATACAATCAACAAAAATTATAGCGCCGTATAAACAAGGTGAACTGTGCGGAAAAGTACACCAAGGCTCTATCAACACGAAATAAGAACTGTACCAAAACAAAGTCTGAGCAGTGGTTAAATGGGTAGGTCATTAAGTGAGGGTTAGCTGTAGGAGCTGCAAATAAGAACAAGGCACGGGTGTGAAATGAAATTCCGCCCTGTGTTCTCATTCTCTCTTTCGGTGGGGGGGTGTCGGGCATAGAACTCAGGACCCTGTCCTTGAGAGGCAGGCGGCGGCACCACTGAGCCACATCCCCGGCCCATGTTCTCGTTCTGTGGTACAGTGTGACATCATCTGTGGAGGATCTTGAGGACACTTAGAGCAGCACAGAGGGTCCAGCTGGAGCCCCCGCAGAGACAGGACAGAAGACAGACCCAGTCGGTCCACACGCCTGATCCGAGCCCACTCCATCTTCCTGCGGCTCGCTCCGTTGCTCTCCTCAGCCTTCTGCAGCTTGCAGCTCTGAGCCTTGCTGTTCTCCATCGGGGTGCACTTCAGCCTTCATCTCTCTGTGCCACTGTGCGTGGCTTTTTAGGTTTTCATCTCCAGCAGCTGCCGTGGATGCCCAGACCATGCGGTCGGTGTGTCTGAGGCCCCAACATCGTTCTTACTGATGCAGGCAAAGGGCCTCCTTCACCGGTCCCTGGTGCCCTGCAAGACAGATGTCAAGGTCAGCCCAAGGCCGCCATTCCCGGCCGGGCCCCAGTCCTAGGGTTCTGTCTGGGTGCGGCTGGGCTGGAAGCTGAGGTCCTCCTTACCAGCATCACCCCTGGGGGTCCGCTGGGTCTGGAGTTTCCATCTCCATCTGGGTGGCACAGAGATCAGGGGCCCAGCCCGGCTTTGTGACCTCCAGGATCCCCTCTCCTGGGCAACCCGGTGCCCACAGAGAACCCAGCTGCAGCTCCCCCAGGATGGGGACAGGAGTGTGAATCCACTGTCCTGGGAGGAGAGGCCTTCTCCTGGGGAGAAATACGCAGCCCAGTGGGGAGGGCCAGTGAGGAACCACTAGCGATATAGTCAATCTAGGGTTGCTCACTTATGTATGTAAGTAAGTAAGGCGAAAAATGACAGAATTTCACTATCAAATCACCTGTCTTTTGAGCAGAGCCACAGGGAGCTGCTCTCTGGAAGGGCTTGGTGCTGCTCAGAACCCGGCCCCTCCCAGAGGTGCTTGTGACCTTGACATCCGGCAGGCAGCCTTAGGCTCTGCTGGGAGCTGCACCTTGCTGTCCCTCAGGCTGGATGCAGTCCTGGCACGTGAAGAGTGATGCGCTCGGCCCTGACCTCAGCTCGGAGTCTTGAGGTCCTTCAGCCTCTTTCCAGGAGGCTGAAAGGTGTTTGTTTAATTGCGTTGATTCACAGGCTGTTGTTACTAACAGTGGGCTGTCCTGTGTGCTCCCTTTGTAGATCACACCGTCTGCTTCTACACCTACACCGCCTGGGGAGCAGAGCTGTGACACCGAGTGGCCGTAACTGTGACAAACCACACGCCTGGTGCCAGCAGTGATGGATGGAATGATGAGCCAAATTAATAAAACAGAGATCAGAAAGCATACATTTTATTAAAGAATAATTCCTTGATAACCAAATAACATGGACGCCTCCAAGCATAAGATTAAATTACATGCTGAGCAAACCTGGCATTTCGTGATAAACTACAAAACGAGACTTTCTCCAGCGCTGGGAAGGTCGGGGTGACAGCATCGATAAACACGCTTTATGGTGTGTCTGCACGATGCCTGGAAGGAATGACTGGGTCTGAGTTTTCTCCTGTGCAAGGAGTGATTCTCACCAACATCTCTGCTGTTTGTGATAAAAGTCTCATTATTCTATTATTCCTATCACAGGGAATTATTGCTCAACAAATTAAATCCCTATTTTGACTTGTAGAAGATATATGAGTAAGTTTAGTTGTCTTCTTTTGCAGTACTCACAGAATTAGACCTGTTTTAATGTAGGTGTCAGCATTTGTGCACTTACGTGTGATAGTTTTTTTCATTTTTTTAACTGCAGCAAGATAGGAATACACTGTCTTCCCAAGAATTCTGAGGAATGTGTTCGGGGCTGTTGGTCCCCACCTCCCGGATCTGCTCTGAGCTGGGCAGGGAGGTAGGACGGAGAGGTCAGTGACTTCCTCCGCCTGCTTCTTCCTTCTCCCTCCCACAGAGCCACTGACTGTGGCCTCCTGCTGGGTCCTCCTCCCTCTGAGCAGTCCATCCCACAGGGCCTTGCAGGGAGAGAGGCCCTGCACTGTGACGCTGTGACACTGTGACACAGGCCTGCTGCCTGGGGTACAGTCTGTGGAGAGGCCTGAGGGGTGGCCATTAGCTGCTAGGTAATAGCAGTGACTTTGAAGATGTTTGGGAGGACTGCACAGAAACCACCAGGAAAAGGCAGACTCAAAGCCTCCATTTCTGGCTTGGGCCTGTGGACTGCTGGCTGGTGGCGCACAGGGAGTCTACTCTAGGCTTTGAGGACTCTGTGTGCGTGTGTGCGTGTGTGCGTGTGTGTGTGTGTGTGTGTGTGTGTGTGTGTGGTTTTGGTTTGTTTTGGGTTTTTTTTTGTTGTTGTTGTTGTTGTTTTTGAGACAGGGTCTCACTTCATAGTTTAGGTTGGCCCTGAATTCATTATGCACATCTCGCTCTATTTTGTTGTTGTTGTTGTTGTTTTTGAGACAGGGTCTCACTTCATAGTTTAGGTTGGCCCTGAATTCATTATGCAGCTCAGGCTGGTTTAAGTCCCTTTGTACCTTCGGCTTTGCAGCACAGACAGGATCCAGCTCAGCCTGTGACTGGGTCATGGAGCAATGGCCCAGGACATCCATGGCTGCCACCTTTGCTGCCTCTTGTGGCCCTGATGGGGGTACCAGCCCTCCCTCCTCCCAGCCCCTCAATTCTGCCACCTGGGGAAGAGGCCGGAGTGTCTTTCCCCAACCTTCTCACCACTGTCTGGCCTCCAGGATCAAGCTGGGAGTCTCTGAGTCCAGTGGGAGGGGCGTGGGAACCTGTGGGGGAAATAGCACAGGATCCCTGATGTGACAACCGGTCCTCCTGTGCGGCCAAGACATGGTGCTGGGCCATCAGGAAGACAAGACTGCAAGAGGGTGCCCACTGGGCCAGGGAGGTGGTGTGTTTAAGGCTAGAAATCAAATTTGTCCCTGGCTCGGGACAGTGGGCTTATTCCCAGGCACAGCATCCTCCGGCATCTCTCCCTTGCCATCCTCCTGGCCTCTGGAGGAGCTCAGGCAGCTGGGCCCCACTGTGTCTGCACTGGCCAACACCATCCTTGGCCCAGACATGCAACCACCCAAAGCACCATCCTTGGCCCGCCTACCCCGCACACAGGGTCTGTGCTCCTGAAGAGGTCCTGTTCTTTTCTTGGAAAGGTGCCTCCCTGCACCTCCATTGTGGCCCCCTCTAAATGTGACCATGGCTCACCCTGCACCATGGCGGAGCTTCTTGGACAACTGTCCTTTCCCGTCTTCAATCCTGAGCTGGCCTGCTCTGGGGTGCAATGCGACCCCCCATAACATGCATCCTGGCGTGGCCCAGACTAAATGTGCATTGTTGGCTGCTGGCCTCCTCTGCACCTTGCAGTGTAGGCTTGGGCTGCCCAGGACTTGGTTTCACTTCCTCTTATCTGCCTGGCCTGGCCCTCAGCACACTGCAGTTGCCCACTGTCTTTCCAGCCTGGCCCTGCAGAGCCTGGGATGGACATTGGACATCGTATGCTTACCAATTAGGGACAGAAAGAAGGTCAGTGGGAACCTCAGACATGTGAGAAGCTTGTGGGGGAAGGGACAGTCACGCCTCGCAGCCCAGGGGCCTTTTTCCCACATAGCCATGGATCTGCTCACCATCCTCCCAGGTGACTTAGCAGTCACCGACAGGAGGCTCAGCTTGGCTGGTGGTTGTAGTGCCCTGTGCCTGCCCCTGACATTCCAGACACTAAATAAGTGGGGGAGGGCACACCACCCCTAAAGTGGCAGAGATCAGGGAGGGATCTGGGCCTGTTATTAACATTCCCCAAACTCCCAAACCCACTGAGCTGGGATGAACACAGCTGGCTCCCAGAAGAGTAGGTTGGTTACAGCCTTGCCACTATATGGAGACACTGCTGTCAATCAAACAACTGACCTGAATCCCCCACCCAGAATGTCATCCCTGATCCAGTAGGCTCAAATTTAAGAAGTACAATTGGATTTGGACCAATCACAGGCCTGCACTTGGGTCAATAGCAGGCCTGCAGCTGCTGTATAAGCAGTGCTCCCTCACACTTCCGGGTTGGACTCAAAGGGCTCCCTCTGCTGTCCTGACTTTCCCAGTGGTGCAGCGCAGGTTCTGTTTAAATATAGCCTAGCTGCGTGGGCCTTTGAGTCTGCTTGTGATTTATTTCTCAGGTAGTGTGCAATCAGAAAGTCCTGTAAATCTATTCGGAATTCTTATTCTGAGTAGTATGGACACAGCCATTGTTTTAAAGAAAAGAGCAATACACTCTGAAGAGCTCAGAGAGCAGCAGACAACAAGATCAGTAGCAGAGACCAGCAGCCAGCAGAGGTAAAACAGCGGTGCCTCACAAAGCTGCACTTTGCCGATTCATGATTTCTATCTGAGTCTAGCAAAACAACTCTCAGCTGCTTGTGGGAGTGAGAAAGCAGAAGCAGATGGTGGGGATGGTGACACTGGCACTTAAGTTCTAGCACTCTGTCGTGGATAAATGATACTCCCATGGAAAAACAACATAATAAACATGTATGTATGTATGTGTTTATAAACAGGATCTCACTATCACCCAAGTTGGTATAAACTCCTGGACTCGAGTGATCCTCCTGCCTGAACCCCTCAAGTAGCTGGGACTACAGATCCCATGATGCCCAGCCTACAGCAACACCTTAACACAGAACATAAACAGGTGATACTGTCACTCGGTTAGCTGCAAATCAACCAGATGTGACCACCTCTGCCCTTGGCCCACGTCTCGGAAAGGTGTGGACATGAAGAGCAGCCACACAGAACCCAAGGGCTGGCTTCCCTCTGCCAGGGGCCCGCTGGCAGGTGCACAGGGCCTCCTGGAATTACTGCACACCTCACAAGGTGACTCAGAACAGAGAGCTGTAATTCTTGCAAGGCTGAGACAGTTTCCCCTTCGTCATGCTTCGCCTTGCCTAGGTATGACATCTGGCATCTTAAAAGGTCAGCGGGTGGAATTGTCTATTCTACATTCTAAACAATCACTTTACATGTGTGTGTGTGTGTGTGTGTGTGTGTGTGTGTGTGTGTGTGTGTGTAGACTTGGTGCAACTTTTAAAATTCTCTAACCTTGTAATTTCTGGCTATGTCTTTTTTTTTTATTTCTGCTTGCTTTTTTGCTGTGGTGGTCTTTTCCTTCTCCTTTCTTCTCTTTCTCTTTTTCCTTCTTTCCTTCGTCTATGTTGCTGGGGCCTGAACCCCAGTGACATGTCTTGCCCCAACCACACTCCAGCCTGCCCCCATTTTTTTCTTTTGAACCAGGGATTGAACTCGGGACCTTGTGCTTGTGAGGCAGGCAGCAGAACCACTGAACTAAATCCCTGGTCCATGCCCTCATCTTTTGAGCGGAGCACGTCAGCCTGTATTTTCTCCACACATTGGGTCGCTGTTCTTGGAGACTGCAGCGAGGTCTGCCTGCTCTTTGATGCTGGAGAAAGGAAGTTACTGCTTCTAGCGGGCGCCTTGTTATCCTCCAGGTGAGGCACTGCTGTCAAGGGTGTCACTTGCATTCATCTGCCCTTTGCAAGGTTTTCACGACCTTGTGTTGGCAGTTTTAGTAGCTATTTTATGGGCATCCTCTCTAGTTATCTCTGGGCTCAGTGCTGAGAGGTAGGAAAACAGCAGGCAAATTCCACCCATTTGGTCCCCAGGTAAGAAGAAAACTTAAATGAACTCAGGCTATCACCTGGTCACATCCTTCTCCCCAAAACTTATAGCCAAGGAACCATAGGGTGAGTGACCTCTGCCTGCTGCGGGAGCACCCCCTCATGCATCTCCTCATGTCTTTAATCTCCATGGGTGGGCTCATGTGCCCCACAGCCCGGACAGGTGGCACCTCCCATGTGCAAGCCGGCTTTGGACGCCAGAGCCCCGCTCTTCCAACAGGGAAGCGAAGGTTCCACACGGGATCTCCAAGAGGAGCGTTTCAGGATTCAGGACCTTCTCCTTGTCCGGAGCCCAGCCTTTCACTCAGGGCCCACGCCGCCTTCCAGAAGTAACGTCTGTGATCTCTGAGCACAGGAAGGAGCTCAGACCCCAGGGTCCACCCTGGCAGAGCCCCTCGGGGTCCCTGAGGCTGCCCTGGGCGCCTGGCTGTCCAGGCAGGGCCTCTGGCCTCCAGCCACAAGCCAGCCCAGAGGCCATTTCCTAGGAAACATTTATAAGCAGATGTTGAGAAAATAACAATTATGTGGTCTGGGTGTATTCAATCCCTAGCTAATCATAGAAACTAATTATAGGTTGTATTACTAAATAATTTTAAGGGAAAATAAAATCATGTTTTGTTTTGTTTTTGCCAATAAACCACTCCTACATGTGGTCTTTTTTTGATGTAAGAGACAGACTTTATTCAAGCATTACACTTTTAAACAGAACTGGCAGGTGCCAGCCTCCTCCCAAGAGATGTGAACCCTAGGGCATTTCCAGCTCACAGAACCCTCAGCTGGGAAGATGACAGAGCATGTCCCGTGGCAGTGTGATTCTGTGAAGGAATCAGAGTGGTTCCTTCTGACAGTTGTGTTCACCACAGCCTGGGCTCATGCAGACATAATTCCTCAAATAACAAAGAGCTTAAATTGCTTTCCCAGAATCCACTTGCTGATGGTTTGAAACCGGCTTTTCCAGAAAGACTATGCGCAGGGTCAGTTTGCCCGGTCCCTGACCTTTCGACATCACAGGCTCTGGATCTCCAGAGCAGGGCAGTGTTCCCAAAGAAGGCAAGCATGGGCCTGCAGGTAGCATGCTGACCCTCCGACCTACATGAAGCCCTGATGCCCCCTTGCATCTAGTCTGCAGTCTCCGCCCCTTTCCACAGGTTCCCTGACCTTAACTGACTGCGAGGCAGGTTGGAGCCCAGAGCTCCGGGCCTACTTGCCAGTGGGTGCAGCAAAGCTGCTTCTCTTCACCCAGGCCCACAGCAGTGGCTTCTGTGCCTGTACCTTGCTCAGTGGCATGGACAGGGGCCTCTAAGTACCAGGTGCTCTGAGAGATGGAAGTAGGGCCATTGGTGTAGAGTCCCTGCAGTGTCAGTAAGATGGCTAAGACAGCATATCTCCCTGGCTGAGACAAGGGAGCCAGGAAGGCCCTCCAGAAGGTTAGGCTCACAGGAGACGCTCATGGTGCTGCTTGGCCCTCCTCTCTGGCACTCGCTGCTCAGACTGGGCCACTCAGACTTTGGATTCTAAGGGTTCATCAGAAGTTTTAACCAGAGATGGGGAACCTGAAGTGTGGGTCTTTGTCCTGGGCTCAGGCACAAGTTCTTGAGGCCCGGGGGGTTTGTGGAGTGCTAAGAGTGGCTCTGGCATCTCTGTGCGACCCTCCCCACCACACCCTAGTTTAAGCAATGAGGTGACCAGGTGACCCTGACCAGTGCGCTGCTCCACAGAGACATCCCTGGGCAAAAATTCACTAAGCTGCATTGTCAAGATGTGTGCATATGTACAGAAACTCCTGGGTGAGGAGGCTACAGCCACACGGGGGTGGACTCCCGCATGTCTCAACCCCACCACTTGCTATGCATGGCTGTAAAGGAAGGGCTGGCGTTGTTCTTCCAGCTTGGTGAAGAAAGCTCCCGGGTTTCCTCTAACACCACCTAATACAACACATCGCTTAGAAATGAGTTCTATGAAACACCAGAGAAGGCTTAATGCGGAAGTCATTTCCTAATCAGGGAAGCTTAATTTCATTTTTAATTTTAAAAAGGGGGGCAGGAAAGACTGGTGAAACCTGAAAGTATGAGAATATGGAAGAGAGGAAACAAAACAGTACCACTGGAGGCAGGGCCAAGGAGCACAGGCCTTCCCGCTCTGGAACTCTGTGCTTGTCGGCTCGGACTCCGGGGCTCAGCTCTTCCAACAGAGAAGCGAGGGTTCCATGCCAGGACTCCAGCAAGCAGTAATCTGGAAACGCAAAGTAGTTCCTCGATGCAGGTGTGGTCAGGGACGTTTTAACAGCGTCGCAAGCAGGGAGCACAACTTCGAGAAGCCAGTGCCAGGAGAGGCGGCCGCAAGCAGAGGCGAAAGCCACAAGGGGTAATCACCAAGGAATTGGCCACCAGCTGGGGCGACCGCCACAAGAGGTGATGGCCACGACTGTGACCTCGATGTGACTGCCACAATAGGTGGTTCCAAAAGGGTGACGGCCACAGATAGTGACCTGCCAGGCGGACCACAGGGCTAGTCAGTGCACCCTGGGCTCGTCCAGTGCGCCTAGCTCACAGCCTACCGCCCCGCTGTAGACTCCAGCCTTCCAAGACTGCCGCCGATTGGCCGAGTCCGGAAAGACCAGCACTGATTGGTCCGAACCTTCTTCCGCAGCCGGGCGACCGGGCGACAAGATTGGTATAGATGCGCGACACACCCCTCTAGCCCCGCCCTCCTCAACGTCACTACCCGGCGTGCCGCGCGTTATCCTCCTCCGCTGGGGCGGCCCAAGATGGCGGTGCAGGAGTCGGCGGCCCAGCTGTCCATGACCCTGAAGGTGCAGGAGTACCCGACCCTCAAGGTGCGCGCTGCGGCAAGGCCCCGGTCGCCGCCGCGCCTCCTGCCAGAGGCAGAGTGGTCCCTGGGGGCGGAG